GCGCTGCCTGGCACCGAGGCCCCAATCCCTCTTCCACCCTGAGTGAGGCCTGCTGGGCCTCGCCCACCCCTGAGCTGGACCTCCGGTGCCCACGCCCTTCACCCTCCGCTTCAGCTTCCCCCAGGACACCTGGCTGACATACTCCCGCCACCTGTCGGCTTTGGACAGCTGGGGCCCCGGGTTGTCCTCAAACATGGGCACGGGCAGGTTCACCCGGCGGCGGGCGGGCGGCGCGCTGGGCTTCTTTTCCCCCCGCCGGAGGAAGGCCTCCACCAGCTCCTCGTCATCCTCGCTCTCCAGGTCGCTCCCGAGGAATTTGCTGCCCAGGTAACTGACAGGCATTCTGCGCACCTTCCTGCTCCGCCCCGCGCCTTTGTGGCCCTTGTCACCCTTGTCTTTGGAGGTCTCAAAGTCACTGAACTCGCTGTCGCTGGCATTGCTGCTGTCATAAGTGCCCACGACCAGCCGGGGAGGCGGGGTCACCATCTGCTGGACTCTCCTCCTCCCTTGGGGCTCCTTGGGTTTTTTGAGGGGCTGGGGTGGGTGTGGGGTGTTCTTCTCAATGATGCGGGCCACATCTTCCAGCGTGCGGCCTTCTTCCTCCAGAAACTGAGTCAGCCGCTCCCGAAATTCCGCTTCCTTGGTGGCAGGCTTGGAGATGACCCTCCAGACGCCTCCGGCCAGCCTGACCTCGCGAGGGATGAGCAGATAGTCCACGTCCTCCCCGATCTGCAGCATTCCCACCGTAGAGTCTTCCTCCCTGCGGAACACCTTGCCGATCTTCTTAAAGGTCCCCACGGGCTTCAAGGCTTCCACGAGGACGTCCAAATCCACATCTTTGCAGACATCCGGGACACTCCAGAGGATCAGGCAGTCGGGGGAAGGGAGGAAACCCCAGGGGAACCAGCCCCCCACATGGCTTTTCTCGAGGGTCTTTAAGATCTCCAGGGTGAAATCCGGGGTGAGGGCAATGAGCCCAAATTCCTTGTAGCCCTGAGTCTGGGGGTTTAGGGATGGGGTCCCAGCAGCGCGGCCAGGAGAGTCTCACCTCCCAATTTCTCTGCCTGCAACAAGTCTGGTCTGGATCAAGTCCGGCTCCCCTCAAGGACTGGTGGGAATCAATTCCCAGGATGCTTACGTGATCCGGAGGGAAGTCGGCCTTGAGGTTCCAAGCCCACCGCCAGCTGCAAACGTGGTGTCCTGGCTCCAACTGGGGGTGCGCGGGACGTGCCTGGAACTTGGGAGAGGACTTCACAGACAAAGACGGCTCGGCTGTGGCTGTTCAATATGGCCGAGGCGCTTGGAGGCCGCAGCCCAGCTCCCCAGGAGGGTCTCCCGCCCTCGGCAGGCTGCCACCCGGGTCCAGGTTGACCTTGACGCGGCTCCCGCCTCCCCGCCTGCGCTTAACTCTGGAGGAGCGCGCGCGGGCAGGAAGTTCCTCCTCGCTT